AAGTTGGAGAAGAAAGAGAGGAGAGTGAGAGGAAAAGAACACCTTCACTTGCTTGGATAAAAAATTTTAATAGAAGGAGACTAGAACCAAAATAGGTGTAAAATTTTTGACTTCTCAATACGGCAATACGAAAACACAAATGGTGGTTGGCGTTAAATTAGGGGCCATTGGAGTCAGTTGAAACTCTCTCTCCTCCTCTATTTTTAATCTCTTTAATTTTGAAGAATTGAAACGGTTTATATTATTTAATTTATTTTTGTTTTTAATTTTTTAAATAAATATTTATAAACATTTTGTTTTAACTATTTATTTATTTAATAAATTTAATAAATTTTATTCTTTTTTATTTTACTTTTTATTGAATTATTTAATTAAATAAAAATATTATCTTTTTCTTTTCTTCACTTTTATCTATCCAAACAAAACTAATATTTTCTTCTCTTCACTTCTCCTCCCTTTCCTTCCCCTCCCCTCTCCTTCCTTTCCTTTAGTAATTTTTATCCAAGCATAGGCTAAAAGAAAGTTAAAGTTTTAGAAGTCACAAGGAGGTAAGTTCTTCACAAATGTTGAGCATCCAAAATATAAAAATTTCATAACAAAAGTAGCTAGATGAAACTTAATTGATTAGCTACATATATTATTGAAATCTCATAAAATATACTGGAAAAATTACAAATCCCGGAGGAAAAAAAAATACATTTAAACCAATACTGGAATAATTTTATTACAAATTCCAGAAGAAAAAAAAAAAAACATTTAAACCAATGATCCCGGAGATTCTTTATTGAACCGCATCTCCTTTATGCAATGTTACTAAGAAGATGTTACTTTATTTCATTTTAATCACTTTTTAAGTGTGTTGATCAACAGAGAAAGATTAAAAAAACAAAAGAATTAACGTTTTTTTTTCCTCACAAACTTATTAACAGAGAAGGAAAATTCCATGAATTAAGAAATAAATTTTGTTCTCGTCTTGTTAATCAGATACTCATTCATTGGAGTCTTAAGTCGACGCTGCATCCGTTCTGCCCTGTCCATCTCAATCAAGCTTTTGATCACAATATCAGAAGCGCTCGTCACAACATCCGTCCAGTTTCTGCAAATCATCAAAAAAAAAAAAAAAATTCATAAGTTAGAAAAAGTTATCTTAAAATCTCAATCAAGTAATTCAAATGGTAAGTAATAGAACAAAGTATAGATCTATCTTACCCTTTTGAGGAGTCGAACGTAAGGCCTACGGTGTATTTTGCTTCCTCAAGAGCTCGGCTGAACCTCTGGATTTCGTTTGGTGGACAGATTCCATTGTTCAAGACTTTTAGTTGTGACGGTTTGATGTCACAGAAGATTGGAATTACCTTTTTCTTGGACTCCATAAAAAGGGCCAGTTCGTGTAAGCAGAAGTAGGACTCACAGTAACGTGGTGAGAGCACGGCAACGCCTACCTTACACCCCCTTATGGCACTGTCTATGTTGTCAAACAGTTTATCTCCAGGTTTCATATTCTTGTTGTCCAAGAAAGGTCGTAGGTTTAGCCGTGAAAAGTAGTCGTACAGCAGCGTGGCGATCGTCCTCTTGGTGTCGATGCCTCTGTGATTGATGAAGACATCACAGACAGGTTTAACTAACTTGCTGGAATATTGCATGTTGAATTGATAATTTTCTCAAAAAAAAAAAAAAAACCAAAAACCCAAAAGGCGTTTTAAATTTTTTTTTTTCCTGTTTTTTTCTTGTTTGGTGAGGAAATGTGAATATTTGGCGAAGATTTATGTGGCCTTTGGGTTGGCTATATATAGAATGAAAGTACAAGGATGATTTGACCAATTAAACATCCCTGGAATAGTTTGGCTTTGATTTTGGAAAATTTGGAGAACATTTGGAACCTTCAAGCAAGTTTTGTTGACTCCTGTGTCTGCTTCATGTCTCTCTGACTCCCTCTTCCTTTTCTAACTAATCCAATTTGTGTTTTAATTACCAAAGTGAATATTTGAAGGGACAACAGTCCAAACTCAACATTCTTCCTTCAAATAGGAGCGAATATGGGGGCGTGGTTATGTCCACGCGTTTAGCTTCTTAGGGCCGTACAATATTATTCAAAAAATAATAATTTAATTTGATTTGATAATTAAAAATAATTAATATTTATTATTTAATAAATTAAAATTAATTTATAAATTAATATTTTTAAATATTATAATTAATCATTTAAAAAAAAATTATAAATATTAATCTAACTAAATAAAATTTATGTGATTTTAGGTAGGTAGGGTACGGTCATAATCACATTTCGAAAAAAAAGGGATGTGGAAAGAAATGTTGGTATTAAAAGCACGTGTGTCAAAAGCTTGTACTTTGAATGTTTCTTTAATGTGTACAATTACATATATTGGGGCTAATTAAAGAATAAATATTGTATTTTTCTTTGCTAATTAGAAAAATTAATACTGTGTTGCACATTAATTTAGGGTTGGAAGAATTTCTTGGCAGTATCTAGGGTAATTTCTCACAAGGTGTTACAAAAATGGGTCGGTTTAATTGTCTTCCCAGTCGGTTTGGACCGGCACCGCCTCCATCCAACTCAACGCCAATGTTTAAAAGTATGAGAAGTGCCACTATGAATTTTGTTGAACCAAATTAGGGTTTCAATACATTAATTATTAATATTTTCTTGAACGTATCAAGAAGATTAATATGAAAGAAATACACTTTCAATAATTGTTTAAAAAATAATTAATCTCAAATTATATATAAATTAAATTGATGAGGTCAAGCATCTACTTGATCATTTAAGAGTTTATTTAATATAATAGTTAATAAATTCGTTTTATTCAACTGAATTATTTGTGAATTATTAATAATTAATAATAATTATTATTAACTATTAATGATAATTAAAGACTCCTGGCCTGAGACTGCGAAAGTTCCTTAATTACGTTTTGGTCGGAAATTTGGTGAATGTGCAATCATAAATATGGGGTACTTCGAAAATGTTTATCTCTAGCCTTTTTCCAAAGATACACGCACATTCCCTTCTACTTTCTCCTCTTTTAATTAATAAATTCTAGACCAAAAAAGAAGGTGAAGATGGAAAAGAAGTAGACGTCTATATCATGTTAGTTGGTACGTTTCTTTTCCGTTTTCAGTGATATGTGTAATTATTGATTAGTTATACCAGCTTTGGTGGCCTAGCTACTCACAAGTTAAAATATGCGTGTAGTCTCTTATTTTGTTAAATTTAAAATTTAAAATTTTTTATTTTATATTATAAAATTTTTAAACTTTAAAACTTAAAGATTTAAATATTTTAACTCTTAAACTAACAGAATTTGTTAATTTTTTTGTTAAAATAAAAATAAAATATTTATAAAATTAGTCTTTAAAGATTAAAAATCTAATAATTTAATTTTAAAAGTTTAAAAATTAAAAAAATAGTAAACTAGAAAAAATTAATAAATGATTTTCTCGTATACACTAAAACAATATTGTATATTTATAATCAAATCAAGTTATTAGCTCAATTTGAAGAAAGAGTTTTGATTGAGATTAAAAAAAATGTTTTAACTAAATTAAGATAAAAAATTTAAGAGATTAGAAGAATATAGCTACTAGAATGTAACTCGGAGGAATATTAGATATCTTTTTTTTTTTTCTTAACTAAGTTAAGATAAAAAATCCAAAAAATTAGACAAATATAGCTAAGAATTTTTTTAAAAAAATTTTAGTCAGATTTCTTATTTTAGATTAAGCTAATCATTTGATTTGATTATAGATATCTAATATTGTTTTTGTATTTGTGGCAAGGTAAAGGTGGCAAAATTTGCAAGTTCATGAGTTGACTCATTTAACCCATTCATTTTTAAAATTCTTTAAAATATTTTTATTAGTAATTTTTTAAGACAAAATAACTTTAAAATATAGTTTTGAAGAAATCTAATATGGTGTTAGAATCTAGAAAACTAAATTATGATGTACCATTTTCTAATAAAATAGGCAAAAAAATATATTCACTATTAGAAAAATATATTCATAATGAATCTATGAATATATTTGGCAATAATGAATATATTTATTTAATGTAGTTTAAAATAAATAACTTTGATGAATACATACTTTTTGCTTTTAAGTAAGGTTTTTGGTTTGATTAAAAGATAGACTTTAAGATGCATCATTTTCCTTTTATAACCAATGCTAATTATCAATTTATAATGGCAATTCTTGTTGTTTAAGAATAACTTATATTAGATTGTGTCATATTAATTATAGATTTATATAAGTGTTGGAGGGTCACTTGTACTCCAAACAATAATATTTTTTTTTTGAAAAAAAAAAAGAAGCAAATATGATTATTAGGTTTAAAAATATATTTATTTTATAATATTTAGTTCAAAATTACTATAATTTAATTTTGATAAATTAATATAAAAAACGTGATTAATTGTATAAAAAACAAAAAAAGTTCATCTCATGAGTTAACACGTGACTTGTTAGGGTTGAATTAGAGTTTATACTTACTGACCCACAACTCACATATAACCCAACTCATAAAATCTGTGGCCCAAGTAGATCCAATTTGAATCCGACCCAATCCGCCCGTTTGCCACCTATCAGCAAAGTCATCTACTAATTAATTTTAATTTATTAAAATTTTAAATTAAATTGTTACATTTTTAATTTTTAAATACTAATCCTGTAAATATTTTATTTTCATTTTAATAGAGAATTAATTGATTCCGTTAGTTTAAAATGTTAAATGCTAAAATCTTCAAACCTTTAACTTTAGGGACTAAAAACTTCATACTGTAAACTGTGAAGTTAAATTTTTAAATTTATTAAGGTAAGGAATTAAATGCATACTTTATCTCTATTCATTAGTCTAATTTACTCTTTCCATCCCAAAATAATAAACTTGTTTTGCTTTTATCTTGAAATTAAGATTTTGGGATAATTTTTATCTTTACCTATTTTACTCTTTAAAAAAAAAAAACAAATAGATTGTTTTTATGATATGGTCAATAATTAAAATTAACCAACAACTTGTTAATCCGAATATAAGAAATTCAATTTTTCTTAAATAAGGTTTTGAATTCGAATTTTATTAACGAAGAAACAAACATTGAAAAAGTTTTTTTTTTATGGATATGACGCAACTCAATTTTGGATTAATTAGACTTTAAAATGACTTCTAGATATTGGAAGTTGGTACTTAAAAAAACCAAAATTCAGAAATAATCATAAGATTAAATAAAAAATATTTATTTTTTAAAATACAAAAAATAACTATTATTTTAAGACAAACTTTAAATTACAAAAAAAAACATATTATTCGAGACGAAAGGAGTAAGAATTTCGAACCCTCCTCAGGATGAGTAACCCGTCATGTGACTCATGCTATTTTGTTTTTTTTTTTAATATATTACAATTATTTATAGGTTAATTGGAAGACGAGAGGAAAAAGATTTTGTGAAACTCGAATGTCATACGACCAGAACAGGGCCGGTCACGTGACTCATGCTATTTGAATTATCATCTACTTACAACTTCCACCAAAATTCTCCAAATCCAAAAGAAGTTAAAGTCAAACAGACATGACTAATGTTTTGAGAATTTATTGTCGGTAAATGTAGTCAAATAATTATTTAAAAAATAAAATGCATGATCAACTTTGAAACCCGCCAATTTTCATTAGATATTAGTGTTTGTAAGCTGAATTTAAAAAGAATGTATAAAAAAATATTTTAAAATTAAATTATTTTAATAAAATATTGTAAAAAAATATTAGAATAGTTTTAATCTTATTTTAAAATATGTTATTTTAATTTTTTTAATAAAAGTTTATTTTAGTCTTTCTCCTTCTAATTGAAAAAAAAAACCTTTAAAACCCACTTTTTGTCCACCATTTTTTTTAGTAACTTTATGGTATCCAGTAATTACATTAACTTTTGATTAATTTAAAATCAAATCACATTAAATTTATAGTGTTTTTTTTTTCTTTATTTATAAGATTTAAATTCAAAACTTTATTTAAAAAAAACTCTTTTCACTTTATCTAATAGGTTATCGGTGTCTATCGTATCCTATTGTTTCAATAGAATTACTAAATTGTCATGATTCACATGTCGGATCGACTAATTACCCTTGGGGCAAAAACCAACATTTAGTCCCTTATTTTACAAAGTTGGTAGGTTTTAGTCATTCACCTTATAATATGATACTTTAACCTTTTACCTTATAAATTTGGTAAGTTTTAATCCTTCACCTTACAAAATTGGTAGATATTAACCTCTCACCTTATATTATGACATTTTTAGCCCCTTACCTATACGAATTGAAGAAAATAACTCCCACCTAATATTAGGTTATAACATTCTATTGGTTTTGTTAGCTGACTGTTAATATCCGTTAGCATTTTGTTATAGAAAATATGAAATTTAAATTCAATTTTATTTGTTAGTTCCATTAACGGAATGTTAACGGATGTTAACAGTCAGTTAACAGAACTAACAATTAACTAACAGAACTGACAGTCAACTAACAGAATTAATAGAATATTATAACTTAATGTTAAATGAGAGCTATTTTCTTCAATTCGTATAGATCATGGGCTAAAAGTGTTATAGTATAAGGTGATGGGCTAAAACCTACTAATTTTGTAAGGTGAGGGGTTAAAACCTACCAACTTTATAAGGTAAAGAGTTAAAAGTATCATATTATAAGGTTAGGGGCTAAAACTTATCAATTTTGTAAGGTGAGGGGCTCAAAGTTAGTT